CAATTTTTAAGGAGATTGTGAGACTGCACGAGATATCTTGGACCATCACTTTAGAAAAGGATGCCAAGTTTTTAAGTTACTTTTGGATGATTGTATTAGAAAAATTAGGCAGTAAGTTTCAATTCAGTTATGCAGCTCATACAAACGGGCCGTCGGATGGAGGTAGTGAACATGATCCTTGGAAATTTGCTGAGATAATTTGTTGGGAGGAATATTAAGCAGTGGGATTTGATTCTAGCTCAGTCTAAGTTTGCTTACACAGATTCGTGATTCAAACTACGGGACACACCCCATTTGAGATTATGTATGGGTGCAACCGCTCACTCTACTTGAATTGGTACCCCTCTCGTGAACATTAGAGATTAGCGAGGATGCTGAGGAATGGGCACGCGAGATTTAGAAGCTCCATGAGGATGTTGGGAATGAAATCGTTAAACAGAACCGCAAGTACCAAGCACAAACAAATAGGTCCAGAAAGAAGATGACTTTTCAAGAATGAGATCTAGTGTGGATCCGGTTGAAGAAAGAAAAATTCATGTGGGAACATTTAAAAATCTCAAGCCCCGAGCAGATGGGCATTTCAGAATACTCTGGAAGCTGAATAACAACGCTTACAAGATCAACTTACCAGGAGACTACATTGTTTTTGCCATGTTCAATGCCGCGGACTTGATACCATTCTATGATGACGTAGAAGCTTCAGCGAATAAATTAAAAGCTCTCCGAACCCCCGGAGACTGACGTAGAGTTGGGGCTGGCTGAACCGACTGGTTCAACATGATTTTGACGATTTAGCAAGGAAGCTGGATCTGCCGCTGCTCGAATGGACTCGAAAGGCCGCCCCTTTCCTCCTCCTCCTCCTATTTCTCCTATTATAAATATATGTTGTTTGCTGTTTAGAGTTAAGTTTTGCTCTTTTTGATTTCACATTCTGAGTCGTCAGGCTTTTCTCCCTTGCTAGGGCTTTATAAGAAGATAGGTTGTACATCGACTGTATCCTACTCTAAGGTGGTAGTTATCTCGTTGATCCCTCTCCGTATCTTCCCTCCAACTCACTGCCTTTCTCTTGCACCTTCCCTCCTCTCAATTTCTGCTGTCGAGGTCTGCCAACAACTAGTTGGCCTTCAGGACCCTGTTGCCCCTCTCCCTACCGCCGCAAACCCTCCAGCGGCCCCTCTACCGCCGCTAGGCATCCTTGCATCCCTTGCTACCACCGCCTCCCTTCCAAACCGCCCCCAACCACTTTAGCCACCCTCCTCCCAACCCGGCCTGTTGCCCTCACCCCTATCTATCGCCACCCCCTCTCAAACCACCCCTTCGCCTGCTGTCCAGCCGGGGTTCCTCACCCTGGAGACTAGTTTGAGTTCTGTTTTGTTTTCTTTCAGTTCTGCAAACATTTATTGTGACTCCTTTGAATTTTCAGCAGTAATATTCGCATTTGATTGTCTTTCGGGTTAACTCCGATATCTCACTTAGCTAACTATGCTTATCCATCATCTGGATTTATCAATAGAAATGAGCTACACCACTCATTTGAAATTCTTTTTCACCCGATCTTTCATATAATTTATCAATTTAATTAATTTGAGTTATTTGTGATTTAATGAAATATTACCTACTTATGATGTATCTAATGAACTCATTCATCATGCTTACATCTACTTTTAACTTTTAGTTTACTGTCAATGCCCACAATCATTCTGAAAGAAACATATATGAGATCATTATGTTCAGCAATTTCTCTTAATTTTTCAACACTCACCAAACCATAATATCATGAATTTCCTTGGACTCCTTCAAACAGTACATATGTATGCTTGCCGCAACAGTTGTGACTCCGTCAATTTCTTATACTAGTTGCAAGAATTCTTCTTCCTTATCTTTTTGTTCAAAATGTCTGACTCGCACCCCACTCTTACTATGCTGCTTGGTTCGAATTGCAGTACTTCTTAATGCCTTCATGTTCATATCACAACCTCTATTGTAAATTCCACAGTATTGTTGTTAACTTCTCTCTATTCCATTCATTGACTTACCACTATCGCTGATCTCCTCCACAGCTTTCTATTTTTCTTTTCTCTGAACTTCAAGTTTGGACTACTGCTCTCTCTAGACACCGAGGTCAAACTTATCCTGTTGGCTTCACCCTAGGGTCTCCATCATTGTTAACCGAGATCCTTGTCTCTGCATACAGCAGTCATCTACTGCTCTCAATAGAGGAGGCTATTGTCTGGCTTCAAGGCCAAGTGTTTCTGATCTTTTAAAGCCACTTACAAAGCTTCAATGATGGCCACTTCATTGTTTGTTTGTCAATAATGCTCGCCACAGTTGCCGTCTTCGAAGCTTTATTCTAAGCTTCTAAGAAAAAAGGCAACACATGCCCTGCCTCAAAACTTCTCTCTGAGTACCAGAGACTACTTGTTAACAGATGAACAAAAGATTAAGTGTCCTGTTGGTATTTGTCAACTGAAACTCTAATAATGATTTTTATGATTATCTTCTCTCCACTTAATTTTCAATACGTCATATTATCATAAACAAAGGACAAAAGCGTATCATGAATGCCATCTTTGTTGCTCTCATATTCATTTTAAATTTTGGTTCTGTGAATGTGTCTCATGCCTTCATATCTTTTCATATATATGATGATGACCACAATTTTCAGTTTCATACTAGGATTTATTGGTCATACCGATATGATTTTGACTGGGAATACACAGATAGTTGTCTCGACGGAACACATAAATTATGTTCTTATAATATGATTATGATGATCCATCCTTTCTTCATTATCATTGGTTTTAGAATTTATCTTCTACAATTTTTATTTTTTTAATCATTTCTTTAGATATGCATCTTCCAAGTGACTTTTGTCTTCTGTTCCATGCAATCAATTGCATAAGTTCAACATGTTTATTTTACCTCACAAAGCTTAGAATCCTTTTAAGTTACTAGCATGAGAAGAAAATTCATGTTCCTTCCTTTTATGATGATGTTTTGATAAAGATGTTTATGATAACATGGCTATCTATTTTTTATGATGAACTGGGCCTTGAGGGTAATTAGAAGTTAACAATATTTGGCTTTACTATTGTGCCAGGATTGCGATTGAGATATTATTAGAGATCAAGACAACGTTTGCGTCTAATGAAATTTCAGAGCTTTACAATTTAATTGAACATGAGGTTGTGTTTCTTGCAAATTATGTTGACTACAACATTGGGTTATATTTACATTTACTAAATCTTACAATTTATCTTCTCCAACTTATTAGTGATTGTTGCTCTAGTTCACTTGCCATTGCTTTTATGGCATATGCTAGTTCAAATGATTATAACTTGTTTCAATGTCACCTATTGAAGTCTGAGTTTGTGCTTTTACTACCACTATCATCATCTGATCAACTGTTGGTCCACATTATCAAGATCTCGAAGTTATGTGATGTTTGGAGGCACCAACCACCTAAGCCTTCAAATCTATATGTGCTAATGGGACTTGTCACCACTATTGCCCCCAATGATGCATGTTTTCCTCTTCCATTAGAAAATTTTGTCGTACCACCACCTCCATATTGACCGCTCCTACAAAATCTTTGGAGAAGAGTTTCTTTGTAGGCCAGGTGAATTGATGCGTTACATTTGAGATTGTTTAACCAATTTTGCCCAAGCATGATTAAATTCTCAAAGGCCAGCTACAAAGCAGTCAAATTAAGCTCTAATGTACCTGAAGTGGACTCTTGTTTCTTTTTTTGAACCTATTTTTACTTTTAACCAAATTATGTAACCTTTATTTTCATTTATGCAAAAAGAAAAGAAAATCTTTTCCTCATTTCAGGTAACAATAATATTGATAATCTCATTCTCTTAGAGGCTGTTTTCCATCATAAATAGGACTTCTAGATATGATAAGTTGTTGAATAATTTATGATGAGGCTTTATTGGTTTGCTTCTTTTTCTTTTGATCCAAGTTGCACATACAGATCAAGCTATGCACATGGAGTTTCCTTCATCTTGTCTTTTTCATTTTTTTCAAAGTTTCCATAACTCTTCTAATTAAGTTTACCTCCATCAGTTTGACATCATTCATTACCTTATCACTAATTTGATGTTGAGCATCATTGCTCTACATCATATAATCAAGAGGAAACGGAATGGTTCTTCATCTGTTGCTCATACAGATCAAGTTATGCACATGGAGTTTCCTTCATCTTGTCTTTTTCATTTTTTTCAAAGTTTCCATAACTCTTCTAATTAAGTTTACCTCCATTAGTTTGACATCATTCATTACCTTATCACTAATTTGATGTAGAGCATCATTGCTCTGCATCATATAATCAAGAGGAAACAGAAGCTCTACATCATATAATCAAGAGGAAACAGAATGGTTCTATCATCAAATAATCGATAGGAAATGGAATGAAATAAAAGAAGACATATTTAAATAAGCTAAATTCTCAAAACATCAGAACTGTTGAATCCTCAAAGCAGAAGAACTCCTTTTACAACGAAAAAAGTAAGTTTTATTTGTAGTATTGGTCATACATCTCAACTCTGAACCACCCTTAGGGCTTATTTTATGATAATCTTCATAAAACTAAGAAGAAAAAACTATTCACTTATAATAAGTTTAAGATACAAATAGTAACAGGATTTTATTTGCTTGCATTTCAAAACACTTACACAGACTAGTTTGAGGCTCATATTCAAAGGCTGTATGTGTGTATTTAATCTCAACGAATTGGGGTCAGTGGGTCTATCCACATATCTGTTATCATCACTGAACTTATATTAATTATTTGATACTGATTTTGTTAGTCCTTGGTCATCCATTTCTTCTTAGTTTCCTTTTCTTGCTTCTTCCATCTTACAAGTATCATTTACATGTTTTGTTTTACTTTCAGAATTCAGATGACACTATCTGAATGAGTTTATTATTATCAAAAGAATGCAAGCTGGAATTTTAATTATCTGAACATTTGAGTTGATATTGACTATGTTCAGATCAGCAAAGTTATACAGGAAACCAGAGCATTAGATGTCAATACCCATGTTATGTATCCTTTGGGAGAAACGGCGTCTGCAATTCGAGGAGAAAATGAGCTTTGGCTTGCTATGGTTCTTAGAAATAAAGTTTTGTTAGATCTAAAACCTGCTCAACTTGCTCCAATTCTTGGAAGTTTAGTCTCTGAAGGGATAAAAATTCGGCCTTGGAAAAGTAACTGGTATGGCATTTTCTTTTTTTTTTATTGTCTTTTTGTTTACATAATACTTTACCACTTTTTGCCTCTTTATATGCAATATATTTGTTGGTGTTGAAGATATATGAAAAAGCATTTTAGGAGAGATGGATTTTGATGTCACTAGGCCTTCTTTGAATCAAAGCATACATCATCCAATCATGTAGATAGGCCTGTTAACCTGTTAAAATGACATTGATCTACAGTTCCTGGACGGTGTGAAAGGATCACAGGATAGGTTGGATTTTGATAGGAGGAGCAATGGAAGATAAAATGGCAGTGACGACTGAAAATGACTGCAAGCGGTGGCTGGATAGTAGGTTGGATACAGAAAACTGCAGGTAGGCAATGGCTGCAAACGTATAGAGAGTTATTCGGATGTCTTAGAGAGATCACCACTAGATCCCCTTAACTTGGAGACACACCACCAGAGAAAGATGAAGGATACAACACTTTGGCAAGAGAAAACTAGAATGAATAATCTCTAATACATAAAAACAAAAGCAGAAGTCCCCACCAATGCAAACTTATAAATAATCAAAATCACATGATTTTGCTTATAAATAATCAAAATAACTTATGAATAATCTCTAATTCAAAATCACATGATCTTGCTTATGTAGTATTGTAATACATGAAGCAAGTAGGCCAGAAAATCCCACCACTGGGTCTTTACGGGACAGGATTTTGTCTCAATCCTTCATAAGCAAGATCATGGGGACTGCTCTCTCGTCGCTCTCTCCGGGTAGGAGAGAATTTACAATACTCCCTGGAAGCATTCAGATCCTTGCAGTACAGTGAAACGTGTGCGATGTTAAATGTAATATAAATATTATAATCTTTTAGTAGATCGATCATATAAGCATTACCATCAATTCTCTTAGTGATTTTGAATGGGTATTCTCTCTAGGCTTGAGCTTCTTAAAAGAACATTCATAAAACCTTTCCTTCTTCAACCTGATCCATACCAAGTAACTTTTTTTTTTAATTAGTTCTTTCTTGGACTTTGTTTGTCTTCTTATGATTTTTAATATTGTGATAATTTCCCCTCTTATTCATTCATGTAAGGCCAAAATCACTTTCGTTCTAGTCTCTGCATTAACAATAAGCTCAATAGAAAAGCATATAGGGATCAACTCTAGTGGAGTCAGGGGATTCTCCGGATAAACTATCTCAAGGGGATTGTATCTCGTAGATGGATTGGTGGAGCAATTATAAGCAAACTCAACTTAGGGGAGGATTAGATTCCAATGCTTGATGCTTTTTCACAGAAAACATTTAAGGTGAGTTATCAAACTCTGATTCATCACCTTTGGTTGTTCATTGGTTTGTTGTTGAGCTGAATTGGAGCTTTGGACCTAGTTTACCTCATAAAGTCCTCTAAAGTGACTCCAAAACTTCACATCCCTATTTAAAGTGATGGTCTTAGGCACATTCTGAATACAAACTTTCTCCCTGAATTATAAGTTGGTAATATGTGAATCATCTATTGATTTATGGTAAGATATGAAACATGTCATCTTGGAGAAGCGGTTTATTACTACCATAATTGAATTCTTGCTTCATTGGGTCTATGGCAGGCTGATCTACCCTAGCGATTATCACAATAATGTAAGTCCCTGGTAACGACACTTGATCTGCTCCCTAGCCACATGATTAAATTCTTCAAATCATTTCTCACGCAAGTATACTTATCGTTTCAATAATATAGAGTTCTATTGAGTTCGGATTGTCGATCCCACAGTGAGTGAGGTAATGAATCCTTTAAGAGAAGTTCTAGTCTATTACTTTTAGGTTTTGGTTTGGAATTTTGATTATGTGAAAGTTCTACCAACTACTTCTACGCTACTTCAATTAATTCTAATGTTAAAACCTACCTAACTTGATTGGATTTGTGATTATCAAGATATCAAGATATAAAAGTTACCCATCAAGATATAAAAGTTACCCCTCTTGTGATGATATAAATGATTGTGTAGGAATAGATACTTCAAATTGCAAATTTAGCTAGTGACAAATAGGAACATTTATCTTCTTTACCCTCTTCCGAGTGCATAAAGAAGTTTGGTTAAATTAGTTTTAATTCCTTGAACCCTTCAAAGACTATTTCTATCTATTTGCATCTCTTTATAGTTTACTTTTGCATCATATTCTGTAGTTCAACGTGTATATTCTAATTGTTCATGTATCGCTCTTTCAAGTCATACTAGATCACAACAAATTTTAACAATTCATATGACCAATATGAAAAGTAAATTAAGTTTTGAAGAATACTCATCACATTGATGTTTAAAAATTAATTTTATAAGCATCCTAACATCCTACACACCCAACTTGTTCATCACAAGAGAAATGTAAGAAAGATCTACTCACAGGTGCATAAAAAAACACCACAAATCATCATTTTATAACAAAGCAATTCCATTAGAATTGTGTTTACATACAGTACAAGATAATATAAAACTCAATATTTAGTTTTTTCCATGAGAAAAGAGATGAAAATTCCTCCCCAAAAGGTTTCCAGGTGCTCCCTGCAGTGCTGAATATATCCCTTCATAGATTTCTCTCCAATCACTCTCCAATCTCTATAAGAAAGTAGAAAATACAAAACCCTAACTCTACACTACGACTCCTTTGCCTCGGACTTCTTAAAGCTTCAGAATGTTGAGTGCCCTCTCGAACTGTTTGTGATACCCTATTGACTCCCAAAGTCGTGCTCAAATAACTGCAAAAACTTCCCAGACAGTCGGTTTGTTTGGGTAGGTTCTGGCACCTAGGCGCCCAATAAGCGGGCCCTAAAGCGCTTGGGTGGAGCAACTTGGAACCTAGGGGCCAATCTGTTGGTCCCCAATTTGCTCAGTTTCACCTCCGCTTCGCTTCACTCCATGTGTCCTACTTGTCATACCTGCAAAAAAAAACACAAAAATATTTTTTTTAAAAAGCTCAATTTCATCCATAACCAAGTGCAAAATATAAAGGAAATTAACTTATTTTACACATTAAAATCTCCCAATTTAAATGTTACTTGTTCTCAAGTAACAATACAAACTTAAAAACCAGATTTATTGATTTAAAAAAATTGGTTTCATTAAAATTTTTTACAATTTAAAAACAAGGAATTGTCAGTGTAACTTAAGAAAAATTCTAGTAAATCAGCCTAGAAATAGGGTATAAGAAAAACTTCTATTCAACTTCGAAATCTTGATTTTCTATCTACTTCGAAAATCATTGATATTTGTCAAACATAAGATCCTAATAAAGTATAAAAAATAGCGTTAAAACACTCTATTTATAAAAATTGACTAATATTTTTTAGAACATAAACATGTTTAGGATTGTAATAAAGTCTTTTGTTTTAAAATGATTCAAGTGACACTAATTTTTTATTAGACTTTTCCTCAAGCTTCTCCTCCCTTAATCTATATATATCATTTTCAATCCTTAACATATATATGAGATGATTACTATATCTGGATAGACCTTTAATGATTTTGAATTTCACTGTCATCTCCCTAAAGTAAAACCTATCACTTTCACTTTTAAAATTTTTCGAAAATTGAAGGTATTACTTGAAATAAGTTTTTAATAGAGGCTCAATTCTTATAAATTATAATTCTAAGGATTCTTAGTATTTCAAATATACAACAATTTTCTACAACAAATAGTAAAATTATTTTTCTACATGTTTTCTACAAGATAACTCTAGAACAATCTTATTTATATAAACTACTATGTCATTCATAAAATCAAATTTGAAGTAATCTAAAGTTAACATCACATTCCTCAAGTTCTTTTAAAAGCATAGTAATTTTATGTGCAGGTTAATGAGGACAAATAAAATTAAGCTTTTAAAAATTTCTCCCCGCCCAAACTTGATTTTCAGCATTTATTACATTCTGAACAGAAGTATAAGCACCAAGTAAAATAGCTCAAAAGTACATTCTTGCGCATGTGTCTATCAGAAATATTTACAGGCATACTCAGGAAAGAACAACTATGCAGTGTCAAGTAATCTTAATTAAACATGTTTATAATGAAATTGTACTGAAAAAGAAAGTCTATGTCTATAAATATTTTACAATTACAAGGGAATATGTCCAATACATCAGAAAATAAAGAAGAAAATACAACAATGCTGCAACAACAGGGTAAAACTACAAATCGTGCGATACATCCAAATCAATGAAATCTACTCATCATCATCACAATCATTGTTAGAGTCTTCTCCTGTGGATCCTCCATCGTTTGGCTATGCACGTACAGCTGTTGACCTCATTTTTGGTGAGGTCTAGTCTTCCTCTTAGGGTTTAGGATTTAGCCTTAGGGATCTCCCTTCGACTATCTTAGAACCTTAGAAATGGGACCCGCCTCGTTCTAGAAATTCAACATACTTCTGTCCCCTTCTGGAGTTTCGCGTGTGTGGTATCAACTTTTAGCACTTAGAAGGGTGAAACCAACTTGAAGAAACCCAAAAGGGATCCCTATAGGATCTTAATGAGCCTTAGGGTGGCCTTTTGCACAATTTGCACTCCCGCGCGCACAAACTTTGCCATTCGGAGAGTCGACACGTCCAATCGCCTCAATTCACATCGCATGCATTGTTACCCGTCGAAGATTCGAATAAACCCTTCGAATAAACCTTTTGAAACGATCGATCGCGGGTCGAAATTTTGTGAAATTTAAATTTTGACGCGTTTTTGACCTTATTGTTGACGACGTCGTCCGAGCGACCCCGGATGCCAAACCGGACTGCACCGACCCGTC